TTTTTTTTCTAAAGTACTTACGTTATCTGTGGTTTTTAAAGATAATTGTTCTATTCTTATGATAGTCACAATTTTTTTATGTGAGAGGTCTTTTCGGATAATTTTTTTTAAATATTCCATTTCAAGAGGAATTGTTGAGTTTGTTTTGTTTTTCCTATGGGAACAATTTCCTTTCTTTAATTTCTTTGGAAGAAGATTAAGTTTGCCATTGAGCAACGTCTCTCGAAGGATTAAGTTTTTATTCATTTCGTACAATCCTGATTGGTTTTTACAAAAGACTAACATTTTATTTTCATTTGAATTAGTCGATGATCGTAAATTCTTCAGACTTGTGTTTATGATTTGAATGTAATGGTGATTGATAGATAAGGATTTAGAGGATGTTTCGCTCGACTTGCAACAAAGCTGTAAATATGTCGATCAAGAGCTAGTCAATATTTTTACTGTTTATGGCTTGGATGGACTATGATCAATATTATATATTGACAATAGGACATGTTGGTAAATATCTGGGTTGTTCAGCTTGAGTTCTTCTTCTAGGTTCACTGTCTGTCCACTTGTAGAGTTCAAGGCACTGTTGTAATCACTTCTAATTTCTAACCAGACCTGACACTGTTTGGTGCTTTTACTTTTACGTGGAATTTGGTTTTCGCCAGAATACAGTTTCAAGTGACTAGTTAGGTTCTATTTCGGTAAGTTATCTCTATTGCATCATCATATAGTACCAATACTTGGCCTGCATCCAGAAATGAGGTTCATGAGCTAGTTAGGAGTTTTGTCAATGAGCCTCCTGATAATTAAGACTATAGGCCTCAAGCTGACTAACATTTAACTGTAGTACATCTGGAAATATATCTATTGATAAGTGGGTTGGATGGCCGAATGGTTAGCATGTGTGCGCTGTATCATAAGATCTGTCATTGAGTCAACTGGCATGGTTTTGATTCCCCGCTTGTACATGACAAGGAGTAGGGTCGCCTCTCCAACCTTGTGGGTTTTCTCTGGATCCTCGGTTTCCTCCCACTGCTAAAGAACCCTACGCAAAAACGAATTATTGAAATGAAATTGAACCATGTGTTAATCCCAAAATGACATAGTTTGTGTCGAGTGGATGTTAAACCCCATCTCTCTCTCTCTCTCTCTCTCTCTCTCTCTCTCTCTCAAGGTGACTATCAAGTAGTATTTTAAGCAAATCCTTACAGGATGGGGGCACACAGGCTTACAGTGCCCATCAGTGCCCTAAATATTCAGGCGAGATGGTCACAGAAATTTGGCAATCATTGCACTACTCTCGATTGAACTGATCACACTTTTTGAACATTATAGGTCAAAGTCAAACAATAATCTTGAAGACGATGAATCTCACTCAATGAAACGTCCTACAGTTTTGCTCCAACTGGGTTAATGAAGATGGGCATATGCCATACTGAGTGTTATGAGGGAAATTTTGCCCTGGCAGCAGTGTCAAGGGAATATTATCAATATTCATATCATTATATAAAACAACACCTGTCAAAGTCTCTATTTGTGTGTGTGTGTGTGTGAAATAGCTTAATTTAATGTCCACTTCCACCGAAGTGATATCGCCAACCCCTATGATGATAAGTACATATTTATAGTAGTATTTCTATTAGTATATATTGTCAAAACACTTAATACAAACAGCACTGAATAACCATTAACACTTAGTACAACAACTTGAAAAATGCTTTGATAATTACGATAAGAAGAACATTTATTATGGTACTGGCGCCATTTGTAGAAAGATATATTTTGTTTCGTTAATTCTGTCAGAACTTTTTCTGTAAAAGTAAATTTAGAGTAATATGGACATCATTTAGAAGATAGATGTTTAGTAACAATTAAGTTTGGAATAATTATTTGAGATAGGTATTTGAAGATTTACAAAGTTTTTAATTATATATAGTTAGAAGAATTCTGTCACATTTTTTTCTTTCTAAAGATAAGATTTAAAAGGTTATTTAGATTACCAAGTTTTTCCATTAATAGTTTGATAATATATCTGAAGAAAATATCTAACATTTCTAACATTACTTGAACATAAAGTATGTCAATAATGTTGATGATAACCTAATTAATACTTTATCTTAATGGTTAGTAGTAAGCTACAAATATTGTGACAGTGTATAGTAAACTATTGATCCCTTGGGTTACAGGGGAAGGGGGTTTGATGGCCGAATGGTTAGCACATGCAAGTTGTATCAACCGGTTGTACGTGACAAGGAATAGGGTTGCCTGTCCAACTTCGTGGGTTTTCTCTGGGTCCTCCAGTTTCCTCCCACTGCTAAAGACCACTACGCGCAAGCTTATTATTGAAGTAAAATTGAACCGTATGTTATTGCCGAATTGACCTAGTTTGTGTCTAGTGGATGTTAAACCCATTCTCTCTCTCTCTCTCTCTCTCTCACTCTCCCTCTGCCTTTAGCCACAGGGGTGGGTGCATGAAAGATCTTTAGATGATAAGGTCTGTCATTGAGACAAGTGGTGTGGTTGCACCAACTGGGCTAATAAAACAGGCATGCATAATCTTATTCTGATTTCCAACTAATAGATGATATTTAACATGCAGTCAATAGTACACAGGGGACTCCACACTTTCCTTGCTAGGATAACCTTCCTGTACCAGTGATGAGGGGGAAATCAGGCTGGAAGAAAACATGTGGCTCGCTAACCTGGAGGTCCCTTGTTGAATCCCTGTGTTGGCCAAGAAAGTTCATCAGGATGTTCCCCTTGTCAGGGGAGCAGGACCGAGAGCCTGGCATGGGACAAGATATAGTTGTTTGGATGGGATGAAAAACCAAGGTCCCGTGTACACATTGGCGTGCACGTAAAAGATCCATTGGCAGGTGGAATTTGATATAAGCATAGGCCATAGGGTCTTCATCAGCCTAGTCTGAGCATTTCATTTATTTAAAATCCTAGTTTTAGCATCAATTATATTAAGATAATGAGCACATACCAGACCACAGTGTGTTTAAAAGTGTTTTATGATAAAGAGTAAATGGACTGAATATAATTTCATTTGGAGATTTATAAATCACATTTTACATGAAAACACGTTTCCTGCGTCAATCTCCGTCTTCTTGCATGTTCTTTTTATTTAATGAACATGAGAACTGGTGTGTAACTAAAAGAATTTCTAGATTTAACACATCCTATATTCACAACTTGTATTCTGTTTATTACATTATATTTGTTATTTTAAGATTGTGGGAATTGAGATAAAAGCATGATTTTGTTTGATAATTGTCCTCAGGAAAACTTTTCCTTTTAAAAGTTTTTTAAATGTTGGCATATTACATTATTTTTGCTGTGAAAGGGTTTAGTGTGTGAGGTTGCATGACAGAATCAGATGAATGTATTAAATATCAAAATAAATAGAAATTTCTAAAGTAAATAAACTATAATGTATTTGACATCCTAACAGTGTGAACAATGAGGTATGTTTGAATAAGATAAGAAACTGTCCACAATGAGATAAGTCGTCCTACTGTTTATGTCTTCATGGTATTCATGCCTACACAAATTAAAGATAAAGATGATTAGAAACTAAGCCTTGTTCCTTGCTGTGGACTTAATGGGATACTGTCAAGAAGAAAAGTTGTTATTGAATTTAGATTTTTATCTATAGATTTGGAAAAAAAAACGTTTTTCTACCTTTTTGCCAGACTAGCAAACATGACTGAAATAAGAGTCCTGATAAGGACACAAGATCGCTGATGTGTGGGATGAGGTCCACTAGCCATTAAAGGATAACTGTAGGTAAGAGCTACTGGAATTAATGAGGTTAAAAACCTTTGCAGGTACATGTATACAAATAAAATGAAATGGTTATATTTGTAACAATTGAAAGTCATTAGAGACCTTGGATATAGAGTTCACACAGTCAACTATTATCTGCTACTTTTACTATAGAATCGACTACTGTACTAACTGACTGTCTGTATAAATCAATAGGAAATGTAATTGTACTCTATATATTGCCGCTAGCTATTTCCATTGGTACTACAAATAACATGATCAGTAATCATTGATAGATGACCGTTAACATGAAGCCCTGTAATCTATATGTAAGAAAACTTTACGAGCTTAGAGATAATTGTATTGTTGGAAGATTCTTCTTCACCATTTTTTCAAATTGTCCTGGTTGCCAAAGAAAGTGGTTGTTTTGGTTGCCAAAGAAAGTGGTGGTTCTGGGTGACCTATAAATTGTTGTTCTGATTTGGAATTTGTAGTTATTGGGTTAAAGCTTTATTGGTTATGGACACAGAAAATGGTTTGACAACGTTTCTTTGATATAGAAAATCGATTGACATAATAATAGAGATTGTTCTGGTCGTCATAGACATTGGTTGGTATAGTTCACAGATTGTTCTGGTTCACAGAACTTCACAGATTGTTCTGGTTATAGACATTGGTGGGCATAGTTCACAGATTGTTCTGGTTCACAGCTTGTTCTGATTGTCATAGACATTGGTTGACATAGTTCACAGATTGTTCTGGTTACCGTAGGTATTAGTTGACATATTTCAAAGATTGTTCTGGTTGTCACAGAAATTGGTTGACATAGTTCACAGATTATTATTTTTATTATTTTGACTTTGATTCAAATTGAGTTTGAAAAAGTTATGCATCATCAACTGAGATGAACTATCACCATGTCTTGTACAAGATTAAAAATGTCAGATACAACTTAAATCATCAATTCCTGACCCGAGTATTACAGAATATTCTGTTGATGAAAACTGCATGTTATATTTTTATTTACAGGCAATTTACATCCAGTTTCAAAGATAATGCCTTGGACTAATGATTGTGATAATTGAGTGCATCTTTTAGTGCATATTGAATTATATGTCATCCATTTTGAAAAAAAGGTCTTGGGCTAATGACTTTGATAACAAATCATTTATTTTAGTGCATATTGTATTTGAATGTGTTGACAACATTATTAACTGGTTATTATTTATATTTTTCAGGTTTATTGAGAGGTTCAGCTCCAGGTGGATCTCGTAATGTTGTGTCGCAGATCTGTGAAAATGTAGTTGTCAAACGGATTAAATCAAATCGACGATCAGCACCATCTTCTTTCTTTACTTTCGACCCATTGATGGAGAAGGAGGAAGAAAAAGAAATTGACACAGAGGAAGTGATTGCCGCCATTGATGCCATAACAACAGAAGCAAAACATCCAGCCAATCAGAAACCATGTAGTAAGAGTGATGATGCTGTCTTTGACGATGCTGAAGAGTGGAATAAGGTAAGCTGGTGGTGTAAACCAAACAAAAAAGCTCAGCAGGATTAGTTTATATGACATATATACAGTGTGCAAATTGACCGATGGGTCGGGAGAAATTTCGGTCAAATGTTTAACATCAGTGGTCATGACCGGCATATCTGACCAACTTGAAACCTGTCGTCTTATCACTAGGTTTTGTATCACAAAGATTCTAGAAGAAAGGCAGCAGTAGTCTCAGCTAATTAGAATGTTTATTCTATTCATAGTTGAATACTAGCTTAAAGATACATTTTTTAAGATTTAGATAGAGAGCTGACAATTCTTGCTATAATAGTTCAAAAATAGATAACGCAAAATGAATATATTGAAAATTTCATTCAGATTACTCTATTGCGAGCAAATATATTAGCCTTTGAAGGTTTGACAAGATGTGTGCATTAATTGCAACCACCATACTGGTTGTTCGAAGCTAAGCCTTGCTTCTCCATTTTTAAATTAAATCAAATTATCATTTAATACTGCACCAAATACAAAATAATTAGCACCATTGTGAAGTTGTTTGGTTTCCTACAAACAAACAACCTTTCCCTTTTATAGATGATATGAAATCGAAGATGTTTAATTTATTCATGAACGTAAAACTTCCCCTTAATAAAATTTCATTTGGTTGATATAATGTGATTTTCAGATCGAAGAAATTGTCAGCAGTTATGGCGGCCGATTTAGCCTTCATGGCGATTACGGCATATTTGAGGCTCATATGGACAAACTCTTGTCCGTGAAAGGTAGAATGAGTCAATAGATATTGGAATGCTAGTTCCATCACATAGCCTGCTTGATTATTATAATATACAATCACTTATTTCTATGTACTGTTAGGAATGTTAGAACCTCTAAAAACCACTATGCTGTTCTTATCCCTTGAGTAATGCTAGGTTTAAAATGTCCTAAAAAAAAAAGTGTTTAACGTTTATCAGCACAAAAAAACAGTCATTTTTATTCAAAAATTGTTAAAACCAGCCCCCGAGTTCACAAAACATTCTCAGACTTAAGTTAAGAATTTACTCAAAATTGTTCACTTTATTCAGACTTAAGTTAAGAATTTACTCAAAATTGTTCACTTTATTTAGACTTGAGTTAAGAATTTACTCAAAATTGTTCACTTTATTTAGACTTAAGTTAAGAATTTACTCAAAATTGTTCACTTTATTTAGACTTAAGTTAAGAATTTACTCAAAATTGTTCGCTTTATTTTAACTGAAATATAGCCCTTTATAAAACTTGTGTTTTTTAATGTATCAAATACATCAATAAGAATTATGTGCAAAGTTTTGTGTTTCTGGATCAAAGATATTTCTCATAAACAGTGATTGAAAGTTGAGTAAAGTCTTAACTTAAGTCTGAGAATGCTTTGTGAACTTGAAGCAGCTTTAAAGGACCATGCACAGATAGTCTGTAAATTTTATTTGGCTGTAATCTATTGTTTATTATTATCATTTTGTATCCACGGTATCGTTCAACTTACCTGTCTATTGCCGAAAGTTATTCATTTGGAAGCAAGTGTAGAAATTTTGCGATCGTCCCTAACTATAAATTAAAAACCATAGAAACGTCATCCTTCATAGATAATTACATAAGAAAAATGTAATCTGGAGATATAATAGATGGTGGTTTTCTTTACATTTGAATATGTCTGCCTGTATATGTACGAACAAAAGCATGTGGTAGGCTACTTATAAAAAAACATGGAATGTTAGTTCTACACATGCATGCAATTAAAAGAACTGAATTTGTCAGTCTTGAAGAGGAAGTTGAATTTGACAACTAGAAAAAAAAAAAAAAATTTTATGTGAGAAATTTTTATGAATGAATTTGCAAATATCACACAGTTTCAAGATTTAAAACGGAAGCTTGAAGAAAAATGATTAGATAGCAAGAATTTGTTGGAACCTTTTGAGAATAAGCTGAAATAGATGTTCTTTTATGAGTTCTGCCAGCTTTCTATTTCACACTGATCTATGTTTATTAAGACATTTAAAATTATTTTCAACAGATTAGAAAATAATGATTGCACTTCCGTCCTTTGTTATTATTTTGTTATTCATCTAGATACCTGTATTTTTTACGATCACTGTTTGTTGATGTTTATTTTTAGTCTTTGATTATTAGTGCATTTTAAGTTGCATGTGCATGATGCTTGATTCAACCTATTTTGTAGATTGCTGCTACCCTTGCCACTTTTGGCGCTGGATTTGCCCGTGAATCTGTCTTTGTAAAAGAATATGAAGCTGATTTTGCCAGATTGTTAGCAGGTAGTTGATTGCAGTATGAATATTGTATAATGTATGCATTAGGGATACTGTAACTGGTCAGTTCAACCAATATTACATTATAGGGAGACCCTAAAGGAACAATATTGGTGTCTACCAATTTTACATATGTGATAGAATGAGGGGAGGGGCGGGCTCGGTATTGGATGGCCGATTGGTTAGGGCGTGCGCGTTCTATCAAAAAGTCTGTCATTCAGTCAACTGCCGTGGTTGTAGGAAGTAGGGTTGCCTGTTCATCCTTGTGTCAAGTGGAGGTTAAACCCTTCAGTCTTTAACTGATTTCCTATATTGTGTCACCATGACAATGATTTCTATTTTAAGATTATATTTGGAATTTGTTTAGCCACATATCTATCACATATCTAAAATTGATAAACACAGTTAGTTTCCTTTAAATATCACACAGCTGCACTATACTGAGATTCCATTGTACCTATACTCATGTAATATTAGTTTACAACATTTACAAAATATTTCCCTTAGTGATAAGAATTGGTGAAAATTCTTATAAACATTTTAAACAACAAAAATACAACTACGAACCTCTAACACCCAAGACCTCAAACAATATGTAAAAGGGGCTACTTTTTATGCTTGATGGTTGTGAAAATTTATTTAAATTCAATGATTTGGTCCTAGAATAAATCCTTGTGGCACTCCAGCAGAAGACTTTGCTATACCCTGAAATCAAAATTTAAGTTCTTTATAAAACGTACGCTTGGTGCTCACAAAGTAGAGCAAAGTTTCCTGATAACAGTTTATATTAACTTTTGGGCAAATGAAAGTTAACACATGTAAATCCAGTTTTATCTATATAATAATGTTGCAGTAAGTTTAGACACATGAGGAGATACGTTTTGGTATGTATCGATGCCCATGGCGGCCACACACGTTATTAATGTTGTGTCTTGTCAAATGATCAGACTTCATAAGGACTTATTCAAGGGCTTCTCCTTGACTCGTGTATGTAATTATTTATCTAGGCCCCATTGATCATTAACCGACTTATGGCCAGTACACTATTTTTGCTCCAGACATCAGAAACTTATTCCTCTCAATAAAATATTCATCATTTAAATCATAACTATCTTTGTCTTTTTTATGGAACATGTACACTGAATGTCAACTTTCTTTTCCCTGGTAGTATATATTGATAACTGGCCCAAGGAGAGAGGGGTGCATCAATTGATTTAATTTTTTGTTTATGGAGTAAACATATTTCAGTTATTAAGAAGGATTATTCAAGATAAATGTATTGTTGTGTATTTAACAGTCTTAATGCCCTTGAAAAGGTTGTGGAGTGGGGGGAGGGGCAAAATTTGCCTTGGTTATACACATAAAAATCCTGTAGCCAGCCATTGTTGCTTATTATACAGTAGTACAGTTATATTATGCAATATCGATATACATTTGATTCTTTTCCAAATTGATAAAAATTTATACATGTATTCCATAAAAAGCTTCAAGCTGGTATTAAATAACATTGAAGATTTGCGAAGATAAATGTATAATATGATGAGTATAGACATTACACTGATATACCATGATCAAATATAAAGCCTAAAATCAATGTTTTTATTCTTTTGTCTGAGCTTTTGCATTAATACATATAAATCTCTTCAGTAATATGCAGAATTAATTCTTTTTTTATTCATATGTCATTTTTTTTATTATGATTTTTGTGAGTATAAAAACCTTAAATTAGATGTTTATAAAGATAAATAGACCAAAATAATTTTTAATGCAGGATGACAATGTAGGTATAATTTTTTAGATATGTGTAATTTATTGTAACTTTGTTTTACTAGGTTCTAACAGTATACATAGTGTAGGAGAATGGTTGGAGATAATTGGATTAGAACAATATGAAAATACGCTGATAGCAAATGGCTTTGATGATACCGATTTCTTGGTAAGATAATCAATTATAAATGGTTCTGCACAGAGCATCCATGGTGGAATATGTCAGTCCCTTCACAGTGCTGTATCAGTCCCTCCACAATGCTGTATCAGTCCCTCCACAATGCTGTATCTGTATCAGTCCCACCACAATGCTGTATCTGAAGCCAGTCAAATTTCTGATAATTACTTTGAATGTAGATGCCCTTTGTCAGATTTTAGTGTTTTATAAATACTCCCATTGTCTACAGAATAATTAAAATGTGATGTGTGTGTATGTTTGTTAACTGGCAACCTATCTTTTAGTATTCTGTATGAAAAAGTTAAGGTTCTTATTTAAAGGTTTAGTCTCTTATAGGTACTGGAAGGCACGTGTGTTGTAGGGGGTGTTGGATGGCCGAATGGTTAGCACGTGCGCGCTGTATCATAAGGTCTGTCATTGAGTCAACTGGCGTGGTTTTGGTTTCGAATCCCCAGTTGTACGTGACAAGGAGTAGGGTCGCCTGTCCAACCTCGTGGGTTTTCTCTTGGTCCTCCGGTTTCCTCCCACTGCTAAAGGCAATTATTGAAATAAAATTGAACCATGTGTCAGTCCCAAAATGACCTAGTTTGTGTTGAGTGAACGTTAAACTCCAGCCACAGGGGTGGGTGCCCAAAAGGTCTTTAGATCATAAGATCTGTCATTTAGACAAGGGGTGGTTGCACCAACTGGGCTAATAAAACAGGCCTACATAATCTTATTCTGATTGCCACATGTTGTGTATTTTACACTTTTTGTTTCAGGGTAATTCTATATTAGAAGATAGTGAATTGGAATCAATTGGTATCAAAGTTGTCGAACACAGGAAAAAAATCCTTGATTCTGCAAAATTATTACCATCTCTTCAACCTATAGGTATTTAAAACATTTTGAATAAATACAATCAGGTCTGGTAATGAAATAAAATGGGTGTTTAACGTCCTACTGTTCTGCTCCGACTGCGCTAATGAAGACAGGCATCGGCATACACTGTGCTATGAGGGAAATTTTGCCTGGGCAGCGATGCTACGGCTTACTCTTATATTAAATTCCATATGCCAAGCATTCATTTACGTGTACACAGCACTTCGTCTTTGTGTCCCATTCGAACAACTATATGTTGTCTCTTGCCAGACCCACCGTCTTGCATCCCTGACATGAGGGAACCACACCAGAAAATCCCGATGACCTTTATCAACCAACACTTGGATCAAACACAGGAACTACAGGTTAACAAGTCAATGTCTTACTTGCCTGGTTAGGTCTGGAAATAACAGGTTAGGCTTTACAGTTGATAAAAATAAGTTTCTACTAGTTGTCTTGTCGTAAGATGTTTTTTTTTTATTTTCAGATTTTTTTGTAGAACAGAACAGATGATAACAAAATGATACTGTTTAATGTTTTTATTTGAAAAAAAAAAGTTTGGGTTTTTTTTTTTAAATTTTTTTACTTATTTTTTTAGATCAGAATAATTTACCAGCATCAGTAGAAGAATGGTTAAAAACAATCCAATTAGAGGATTATTGGGATACGTTTAAATCTCACGGCTATGATTCCATGGAAAGAGTTGTTAAATTATGGGAGCTGGAACTCTCTACAGTAAGTTTTGTTCCTTCTGGTAATAAACACAAAATCTTACCGGTATTTTACACGGCTATGATTCCATGGAAGGAGTTGTTAAATTATGGGAGCTGGAACTCTCTACAGTAAGTTTTGTTCCTTCTGGTAATAAACACAAAATCTTACCGGTATTTTACGCAAAGAATGGATTTGACTTGAGGTTACAAGGGAAATAACTCCTGTTTCAAGTTGCAGGGATCAGACCCATAATTCTGTCTACAACGGTTGTTTTGAATTTTCTTTGTTTCAAGAACCAAAAGTCAACAATAGTTGACCTTCCAAAGGAGGGAAAAGGGAAAAAGGGGAATTGCTATAAATGGACTAACTAAATTACCAGTCTTAACAGTTTTATTCTGAATATTTGATTACGTGATCTTTTGAATGAAAAGAAAACAGTGTAGGGTTTAAACTAGATGTAGTAATATCTACTGAGTATTTGTTTTAGTTAATATAGAATAAATAGTAATATCTGGGTATTGGTTTTAGTTAATAAATGAACAGTAGTTATATCTACTGGGTCAAATATTACACTTTTATGCAATAACAATTACCATAGTAATTGTTATTCCATAAAAGTATGTTATTATGTTCCAACTACTAAATGTCATTCAAAGAATATATCTACTGGGTATTTGTCTTTGTAACATGGATGGGAAATCTTCCTTTGTTCTTTTCGTTGAGTAAGCAAATTACTTTCCCTCTAGTAGATTGGGTGGAGCTTAACCGTGTAATAACTAGACATGTTCAATGTTATTGCACACTTTTGCTGGTTTACACTTGTTTTAGTAGAAATCATATAGAGAAGTGGGGTGGGTTTCTGTGCAATAACAATAAGCATGTTGAGCAGTTGTCAATGTTACAAGTCATTTATAGCACGCTTCATTCGTTAACAGGTTTAACCCCTCGGCCTTTGGTCTCTGGTTAAACTTGTTAACTCATGGAAGCCGTGCTATAAATGACTTGTGTATGTAATTGATCTGTCAGTAGATTTTACATGATATTTGATAATGAAATGAAATGGGGTTTAGCGTCGTACATTGCTGCACCGACTGGGCTAATGTCAACCGGGATATTTGATAATAATTATACTGATTGTTGTTACAGGTATTAGATATTTCATCTGTTGGACATAGACGACGTATATTAGCATCACTCGGTGATCGACCATTACCTGATATTAAAGAAACAAATAACCAGACACCTGTAAGATATTTACTTATCACTATAACCCTGTTTACATTATTAATTTTAAGCGTGCCAGGAACGGTCCTGAGAGCAGAGCGGTTGATATTTTTGTAGTGTAAATGGATCAAACACAACTGTGCCGTAGTGAGAACTGTGCTAATTGGAACCACTGAAGTGGGGTGGTCTTGGCACTGTTCTCAGTACGGCATGGGGAAATTTTCGTATTGTAAATGATATCTGGTCTCAGAACGGTTCTCTTACGGATTTCTGCGTATAAGTTAGCGTTAAGTTTGACCCTTTGACTGAAATTAATGTTTCAGTGAAGAGTTCCACATTTAGCATGCCAGGCATGGTTTCAGGTTATTGCATACCAATGTAAACATTGCAATTTCTTGAATTTTATCGTGGCCTGGAACAGTTCCGAGTGCGGTACACATTCCACGGCCAAGTGTAAATGCAGCGTGTTTCTATTTACTGTAGAATATCTAATAGAAGAAGTAGAGTGCGCCATTAACATGGGGAGCAGCATAGATAAATAGAATTTAAGTTCAGCATATCTTTGTAAATACTGAATGGAATTGAACCATCTTTGGAGTGATGATCATATTAGAGATTCAACTTTTATAATATTGTAAAATAACACTCAAGAGACTTTAAGCTTAGCTCACAACCGGCCGTATGTGGTTTGAAACGTGCAGATCCTAGGGTTTGGTAGCTCGCAGACCAGCTGCAATAAACAGGGTGAAAATTTCGTATGTGCAGGACCAACAGTCTGTACGGCCAGTCTGTGATCTTTATGGTGCTGAGCACACGCAAGTGACGCGTAAGTCTTACACACAGGTTTACTAAAATTTCTCCCGTAGACTGCTCGTATTAGCATGTACGGCGGGTTGTAATCTAGGCTTAAACAATGATGAATTTGTGCATTAGAGAAAAATTTCTCAGAAAAGCTACCGGTATTCGTTTATTGCAAATAACCTAATATACTTGTACATGTCAATATATTGATTGATGTTTAGATATATTTGTAGATAAAGTATAAATACTTCTATGTTTACGATAGATAAATACATTTAAAAATAAAAATAGATCCACATGTACATCAATTTGATTAAAACACAGATCTTATTTCATTTTGTTTTTTACAGATCAAAATTTCGTTTTACTTGTCTTTACTACACTAGGATCTGGCGTTTTTCTTTGAATTGATGGATAAGCCAATGAAACAGTCTGTTACGGCAACTTCTTGGCGTCCCATGCAAAGAACTGTGGGTACATCACTAGAAACGCCAACGCTGATTGATTAATCAATGTCTGACGTCATAGGGGTCAAAAGTCGCTTGTACGACCCTTGACACGACCTTCGAGTACAACTTGTCAGGTCTTCATGTAGTGTAGGCCATCGAATGTATAAAAAAACGAAATGAAATATAGATCTGTATTTTAATCAGATTACATCAAATCATAAGCTAACTGTCTGCTCTTAATATGAGCATCTCCAAATATTATAATGTGTTTCTATATGGTTTCATTTATTCATTTTGATATTTCAGACCTTAATCATTGACCCTGGTGATGAAGTGAGTTCACCGTTTGAACATATAGATTTATATAAAGATTATACAGGGGTACGATCTCGACTTTCTGATGAATCAGATGAACCTCCTCAAAATCCTTTACTTATGATGGATGGTCAGGAAAGCGATGACAGTGGAAAACAGGTGGGTTCTTTCATATATTGAATACTTCAGTGTAGAATATAGGTTTTACTTTATTCACCTGAGTAATAGTAGCTAAACAGTTCATTCTGAGATTTTAGTGTCATCCTTTAAAAAGGATAATCTACTCTTGAGATTTAATGCGTTATATTTTTAGTATCCCCCTTTAAAAGATAATCGTCAGATTTAATGTTTTAATTTTAAAAAAAGATAATCTAGTCTTCATATTTGATACGTTATATTTTTAGTATCCCCCTTTAAAAAAAGATAATCTGTTTTTGAGATACCACCTCATCGTTTAAAACAGACAACATGTAGATCCTCTAATTGGGATGTTTTTGAGAAGTCATTTAGCTGCTTGGTCCTTTTGACAAAATAAAATGGCTAAATATCTATAATAGTAATCAGTTGAAGATAAAACTCTGTCAAATCTGTGTTTCATTATTTACATGGTTGCAAACAATTTTTTATATTAATAAATTTTCTTTTCTTTTCATTAAAGGGTCAAAGTATCAAGGATAGCACAATACATATTCGACCTCCGCATTTAGCTCATACTACCGGCTCAATACGACAATGGCGACATCGACCAGAAGTATTAATTAAAGGATGTTGTAATTATACCTCACAGGTACGTATTTTAAAACAACCTTTAGATCATTTGCTTGATAAATACAAGAGTATCCTCGTCGAAACGTCGCTTAGTATTAAACTCAGTAATTGTGTATCCATATTTGGGGGGTTGGATGGCTGAGTGTTTAGCATGCGCGCGCTGTATCATAAAGTCTGTCATTGAGTCGACTGGCGTGGTTTCGAATCCCAGGTTGTACGTGACAAGGAGTAGGGTCGCCTGTCCAACCTCGTGGGTTTTCTCCGGGTCCTCCAGTTTCCTCCCACTGCTAAAGTACCCCTATGCGCAAGCGAATTATGTAAATAAAATTAAACCATATGTTAGTTCCGAAATGACCTAGTTTGTGTCGAGTGGACGTTAAACCCCATTTCTCTCTCTCTCTCTCTGTATCCATAAAATTGTACCTTGTGTTAATATGTTCAATTACTAAATGCCAATCAAAGAAGACCCTTAGATATAAGCTATAAGCTCATTGGGGGTGGGGTGGGTGATGGTTTAACAATTGTCATACCTCGTGGGTTTTATTTAGGTCCTCCTGTTTCCTCCCACTTCTAAAGACCCCTACGCGCAAGCAAATTATTAAAATAATACTGAACCATATGTTAGTCTCTAAATTACCTGGTTTGTGTCAAGTGGACGTTTAACCCAATTTCTCTCTCTCTTTTACTTGTCACTAACTAGCAGGTCCCTCGGTTCCATTGTAGTATCGGCCAAGAAAGTTCCTCTGTGTTTTACAGCCTGGTTTCCCCCTTGTTAGTGGTATTGGCCTGGTCTTCTCCACAAGTTGACATCATCTCCCAAACAATCGTCCTGATCTTCTTTCATTAAGTCTTATAGCCTGAAAATAAAATGAAACCTAATTTATATATATTGAAAATTTAACAATCGACTGATTAATTTGGTGAACTAATTGTTTAATTATAATAATATTTCAGTATCTTGGTTCAACCCTTGTAAAAGAGCTCAATGGGCCTGAATCAACTCAGGAAGGGATAGCTAAATTAAAGGTAAGAAATCTTTATCACAGTCATTAGTAACCACAGTCTATATCACTAGGATACACGCTGTGTCTTGGGTCACAGTTTTGGAACTGAAGACATTAGGGATACGTGACTGAACATTCTGGAATTGAATTTTTGGTATTCAGTTAAGCAGAAGAATTTCGAACAAGTTCTCCATGCTTAATAACATCATAATTCTACCTACACCTCATCTGTTATCGGCATTGACTGGAGTGGCAGACTCAGTTTGTTGTCATTCAACTGAATATTATTGCTCTGAACCATCAAATTTGTCTGTCTTGTAAATGGAGTTATCTCCCTTCCCCCACTTATTTTACTGTGCAGGATATTGCCTTGACATCAATACACTCATATATGCAAGTTAGGAGAATATGCATCATATTATGTTTGAGCACAAATGTATCTGTAAAGATAATAGCATTGTGATTTTTGATAGACTTTAGCTGAGTTCACTTCTTACTAAAGTCGTAATCAAATGAAGTGGAAGCTTAACATGCTTCAATTCTGCTACTGGGCTAATGAAGATAGAAATTAGTAAAAACATAGTGAGAACTTAGTAAATAGTTGTCTCCCTTAGACCATGAATTGATATTTCATTGTTTATTACCTCCCATAGCAAAGATTACGAAGGAAATTAAAGGTTAGTTAAACTAACTGTGTGTGTATATCAACTGTCATCATTATTTCATTAATTATTTAGAAAAAGAAAATATTGAATGCACCTCACTCGGGTGTAAGAATATGGCAAAAGGGCATTCAAAGTTTTCTTTTAAAAAATTGTTGTTTTAATTGAAAAATGCAACTTGCTTCTTTGGTGATTGTGAAAAAGTATGATTTTGTAATTGTCGTGATTTTTTGTGATATTTTTTTATACACCGATTTAATAAGATGTGTGTATTTATGATTAAAACGTCTGTGCATGGTTGGTTAATGATGATTGGATCAATACACGTAGATGCAATATTTAATTTTAGAATAGTTTCAATGTGATTATTATAAACTGAAATTCACGGTCTTTCTGATCACTGACTTGACTAGAACCAGTGAGCATTATTTTGCCCTTTTTTATGCGGCATATGACATAGTTACCATTATCTACTCTTGTCTGTGGATTTTATAAATTGTTCTTTGTTATTGGTATTATGTCACTTTGTCAAAATTTAAATTATCCATAAATTTTTGATATGATGTGTAGATTCTACATTTATGACATATCTTTCCTTGTTGGTTACTTTTTTCGATACTTTTGTCGCTAATGTCAAAAAGGTCTTGTCGGTCCAAAGGTCTTGTCGGTCCTTGTCAGTGATTAATAAGACACAAATTGAAATCATATCACTTATTGTAAGATGTTGTTGCTTGTATGATCCTGAGATAGACTAAAATGTCAATTTGTGATTAGCCACTGGATGTTAAGATGTTGTAATTTGATGTGTTTGATTTAAAGATGCATTATGTAGGAGCTAAATCAGCCTATTTCAGGCTGGGTTTTTTTCTGACTTAAGATGTTATTAGCTGAGCCGTAGGCTTTTCTTCAGAGATATGCGGAGGACAGAAGATTCTAAGATTCTAGTCATTCGGATGGGACAATAAAAAAATCAAGCTCCTGTGTCTTCATTAGCCCATAAAATTAGAACATTAAACCCCATTTCATTTCATTTTGTTTCATCATAATCAACTCTCTAGACCAACCGATGGCCCTGATTTTGAATGGATTAAAACACAACCGCTATTTAATAATTTAATGTCAAAATGGATAGCCAAGACTTTGTTTATTATTGTAGCAATGGTCCTTGACAATCAAGAACCTTTTTAAATATATTAATTTTGCATTATCTATTTTGAACTATTATAGCAAAAAAGATCACCTCTCTATCTAAATTTTACATAATAGATCTTTAAACATACATTATGCAAGAGCTAAATCTGCCTATTGCAGGTCTTTCTTCAGGCCTGAAATGTTATCTAAATTATTAATTAGACATTTATTAACAAAACAAGACCATAATCAACTCTCGATGGCATCGGATACTCGAGATTTTAACTAGATTAAAACGGTTCGCCATTTAAAAATTTCATTTAAAAATGGGATAGCGAGGCTAAGTCTTGAATATACCAGTACCCTGGTTACCACTATGCACACATCTTGTCAAAACTACAAACAGTGATAACTTGGCTCAGAATAAATTAATTTGAATGAAATCTTCATTATTTTCATTTTTCATTATTAGTGTTGAACTTTTTTTAGCAAAAACGGTCACCTCTTTATCTAAATCTTACATAATGCATCTTTAAATAAAATAAAATGAAATGTACAATGACATTGATTTCTAGTATTGTTTATGTTGAGTTGTTATGAATCTTTATGTCAACAATTGATATAGTTGTTAATCAAGGGGGGGGGGGGAGGATGGTCGAATGTTTAACACATGCGCGCTGTATCATAAGGCCTGTCATTGAGTCAACTGACGTGGTTTCGAATCCCCGGTTGTACGTGACAAGGAGTGCCTGTTCAACCTCGTGGGTTTTCACCGGGTCCTCCGGTTTGCTCCCACTGCTAAAAACCCCTATGCGCAAGCGAATTATTGAAATAAAATTAAACCATATGTTAGTCCCAAAATGATCTATTTTGTGTCAAGTGGAGTTAAACCCCATCTCTCTCTCTCTCTCTCTCTCGCTGTTAATCAAGAGTGCTGTAGTTGTTATTATCATAGAATATAATGAATGGGATTAGAAGATGACAAATGTTATGATTATTTGTTATTAGCTTAGACTTTTTATTACTTTCAATCTTCCACAATGCTTATTATATCTTCACATCTGTCAAGTTTATGACATGAGAAATCCTCACAAAAGTTGTCATTTGTTTGTGGCAGTACCGGAACACATCCTTGTATGTGGTCGTGTGGTGCAATTCGTTTTTATGATGCACAACTTTGGGTAAATAACGTGGGGAATGTGATTAATTGAAATAAGGAAAAGTTATTTATAATAGAGAACGGAACGGCCTACATGTAGTATTATTATTGAACAGTTGAACAATGGTTTCTAGTCCATGTGGTTTTATTATGAAATATGCTTTGCTTTAAGATTTATAAAAATATCTTGTTATTTATATGTTTACGTCAATCTCCACGAAAAAATTTTGCAAAAGCTAATAAAATTAATATGATTAATAGCTTAAAACATTCTACTAAACTGCTATTTAAAGACATTGTTACTTTCATCTCATCCTGGATCCATTCACTTGATTTAATGACGGTTTTATTGTGTATTGCTCATAACATCTGCATGTTTGTCTTCTGGCTTTCTGTTTGTGTGTGGTGCGGTTATCCTACACTTTTAGATTAAGGGATTTGCCACATCAGCTACAGAATGACATATTTGTTGTAAATTTCTATTATAGTCTAAACTGAACAATCCGATGTAAGTGTTTGTCAAATCACAGCAAATTGAAAATTGTATATTTAACGACTGTCAAAAATCTACAAAGTGTTAATGCCTCTTTAATTCGCTTCCCCCAATATCGTCTTTTGTAAAATGACTACAAAGAAGGGCTTGTGAAATACTTTCTTGATTTCATCTATTAAATAATTTTAAAAAAGCAACTGTTTCAGATACTTTGATATTCGTTGTCAAATTTATTTCATTTGTGTACCATATAATTTTCCCAAAGTAAAATTTAATGAATGAAAGTTTTTAATAATCAAAATTGACCACCCATGGGGATTTTTCAAAAAATGGTAAAAACTGAATTGTTTGACTTTTTGAATGCCACATGACTAATATAAAAAGTGGTTAGGGAATTAAGAGTCTGGCAGAAGTGATGATTCAGATTAACTTGTTTAGTACCACAAAACAATAGTATTGAAGAATGGTACCAATATGACTCAATAACTCATTAATCATAATTTTGGCGCTTAGTACTTTATTGGAATAAAACAATGGTTTTGACGGTCAGCAAAAGTTGTTTATTAGTAGTTTCAGGCTATTACACATCACTTACACAATGACTGTCGGAGTCCAGGCATCTGCTTTTGAGTGGTCTTTTCTTTAACTGTTAGGGACAAGGACATAGGTCAACAAATATTCCGTGGAGAAACTCCTGACGATTGACAGCAAACTGTATGTAATTAATCATCTTTCTCAACTTTCAAGATTGGACGTTTCGATTAATTGTATTCCAATAATTAGCCATTTTTTTGAAACAAACGAAAATTTAAGAGATCATTCTTTAAGCGAGAGTAGGCATTGTTAGCGTTCCCCACTGTATGACCCCATCTTCACAATTACTTCACGCAACATTTAGTTAAGCATTAGAAAGAATTGGCCCCAGATAAGAGAAAACACTCATAGCACGACGGATTATTAATCTCATTTTTCTTTCTGTAGCAAATAAGTTGAAGAAGAATTGACATGACTCTTGTCCACTTGGCTTAACAATAAACATACAGCCTTCATTATTCTTTCTACCATCCACTCATTCATTTCCTCTCGCGACACATCAAAAAAACACGAGACTCCAAAATTTACGTAAAAGTGATCGGTGATGATGGATAAGCTGTGTGAAATCAATTAGAAATGGGACCTTATGTTACTGATGAAGAAAGTTAGGCTTGCATCATTGAATTTAAGATTTATTATTTTAGACCGATTGCAGCTATCGCTGTGAAAAATGTGTCCTGTGCCCAATCAACCGTAAAGCTTTAAGAAGACACTCACGGTTCAACGATTCTCGAATCTTTTGGCAGTAAATCTTGAGTCGAATCAAAAATTAATAATAAAACAAGCACGTAACAAAATGGATCTGTCTCCTTCTCTCCAGCTCATTTTTCTAACTTCTAAGACTGTTAGTTGATTCCTTGTTGTCAAGATTAATTTATCAAAAACATGATAAAACTGATGATGTAGGACAAAAGACTCGCAGAAATACATTTATCATTGGAAGCAGTTCAGCAGTTAAAAAACATGGCCGCCTTTCATATATCAATGTGTCGAACTGGTTTAACTACTTGCATGTAATGTCAAATTGACTTTGAATTTCTTCTAAAGACCCAAGGTTTGTGTTGTATTTATTGCACAGTTCATGTTCAATCAATTGTCAGTGTTAGAAAAAAGCATTTTCCTGAATTATTATTTTTTTTTTTTTCAGAATTAAATAGTATTTAATTCTGGATCTTTCAGACAAATATCCTGTAGTTTTAATTTTTTCTAACATCCAAATTGTTTCTTTTATCAAAACTTTAAAAGAATGGATTTCTAATAGTAATATCCTGAATGTTTCCAAATAGAAAAGTATAAGTCAATGGAATTAAAAAGCATAAATAAATGGAATAAATTAAGGAGCATTAGTGTTTTGGACTTTATAGTATTTATTACATTAATGTTATAGTCATTGGAGTATTTATTAAATTAGTGTTTTAGACTTCAGAGTATTTATTACATTAATGTTATAGTCATTGGAGTATTTATTAAATTAGTGTTTTAGACTTCAGAGTATTTATTACATTAATGTTTTGGACTTTGGAATATTCAATAATGTTTTGTGTTTTCAGTATTTATTCAATTAATGTGTTGTATATTTCCAGAAATCCACGGATGTTATTGCTAAGATTCCAACTATAATGTTATCCATATCATACAGAGGAGTAAAATTTATAGATGCTAAGTCTAAGGTATGCATAGATTATTCATTTATTTACATTTACAGAGTTTACATTTATTTGTATTGACAGAGTTTACATTTATTTACATTCACAGAGTTTACATTTATTTGCATTCACAGAGTTTACATTTACATTCACAGAGTTTACATTTACATTCACAGAGTTTACATTTATTTGCATTCACAGAGTTTACATTTATTTACATTGACAGATTTCACAGATTTTACATTCACAGATTTTACATTTGTTTACATTCACAGAGTTTATATTTATTTACATTCACAGATTTTACATTTATTTACATTCACAGAGTTTACATTTACATTCACAGAGTTTACATTTACATTCACAGAGTTTACATTTATTTACATTCACAGAGAGTAATCAATATAACAGTTTTAAAAATAGTTTTGGTTTGTAAATTTATTCACTATTGACAATATAATTAATAATAATTTAATGTTTTATTGTTTTTTTTTTTTATTTTTCAGAAAGTTATCTGTGATCATGAAATAGCTAATATTTTCTGTGCCTGTCAGGATTCCGAGCACATGAATTTCTTTGCCTATATAACGAAAGACCGAGAAACGGCTAAACATTATTGTCACGTATTCAGTGTGCGGAGTCGAGTAAGTATTCTATTTAATAAGATTATTTTTGTCCCCCGCCTTTCGAAGAAAGCAGGGGACTATTAAAATGGGTTCGTCCGTCTGTCTGTCTGTCTGTCTGTCTGTCCTTCTGTCTGTCCGTCTGTCTGTCCGTCACACTTTTTGGGACACAATAACTCTCTTCATAATTGAGCTAGAATGTTCAAACTTGGTGTATGTGTTTATTAGGTCAATGCCTTGATGGAGTTCGAAGATGAGCATTTTCCGCTTAGGGTAAGCAGAGATAAGCAATTTGATTGGTTGATGCTTTGGGACACGATAACTCTCTTCCTAATTGGGCTAGAATATTCAAACTTGGTGTATGTGTTGATTAGGTCAATGCCTTGATGGAGTTCGAAGATGAGCATTTTCCGCTTAGGGTAAGCAGAGATAAGCAATTTGATTGGTTGATGCTTTGGGACACGATAACTTTTAATTGAGCTAGAATGTTCAAACTTGGTGTATGTGTTTATTAGGTCAATGCCTTGATGGAGTTCGAAGATGAGCATTTTCCGCTTAGGGTAAGCAGAGATAAGCAATTTGATTGGTTGATACTTTGGGGCACGATAACTCTCTTCCTAATTGAGCTAGAATGTTCAAACTTGGTGTATGTGTTGAGTAGGTCAATGCCTTGATGGAGTTCGAAGATGAGCATTTTCCGCTTAGGGTAAGCAGAGATAAGCAATTTGATTGGTTGATGCTTTGGGACACGATAACTTTAGTTCTAATTAAGTGAGATTGATGAAACTTGGTGTATAGATTTATTATATGAATACCTTAACTAAGTTCGATAATGAACATTTTTTGCTGAGGGTAAGCAGAGTGATAAGCAATTTGATTGGTAGAAACTTTGGAACACAATAACTCTCCTTCTAATTGAGGTAGAATGTTCAAACTTGGCACAGGTGTCTATTAGGTGAATGTTTAAACTTGATGTATATGTAGATGTTCATTAGGTGAATGTCTTGACTGAGTTCAATAATTAACATTTCGAGCTGAAGCTAAGCAGAGCTAATCGATTTCATTTGTCGATGGTTTGGGACAAGATAATCTTGATTCTATCTGATAGAGAGTGATGAAACTTAGTGAAAAAAATAAATGTGCGATTAATTAATATGTGTCATCTATTTATTTTGCAATTTCGGCGGGGGACATCAGCCTCACTGTTGGCTTGTTATAGACAGTTTTAGCTTAGGCTTTATCCAAGAATACTTAAAATAAGTTTTTTTTTTTTAAGAATACAGCCTTTACATTGGCCCAAGAGCTGATATCTTTGCTATGATTTTAGTGCCTTGCCATTGAAACATGGGTATTTAGTTGTCACGAATAAGGTCCCTGATTTTATAAAGGGTATGTCTGTAGAATATCGAGGATCCAAGGGAATAGGGTTCAATCCTTGTGCTGGCCGAGAGAGTTCTTGGGAATTTTCCAGCCTGATTTCCCCTTGTCACTGGTGCAGGACAGAGGGCCTGCCGGGGAACAGTGTCTACTCTTTTTTATCGAGGATTTAGTCAACTAGAAATTCCCAGCAATAAACTTGTGTTCTTGTATATACTACTGGTGTGTATCTGTTAGTGTTATTGCCTGGCAACCCATGTTTATAATACGTTACACATAGTGGATTAAGTGTGAATTATATGTACATGTATGTACCCATTAACATAAGGACTTCCATATATATATATATATAATGTTATATAAGTATGTTTTCCCATGAACTCTTGTATACATATTGTCAACACAAAACATATACTTAGTGTACATTATCTATCTATGCCAAAGGGACATTTCAATTAAAATTTCTGGTAGGCTACAAATTCATGAAATGTGTTTTAAATCATCTTATAGAAATGACAGGAGAAAGATTAACCCTTTCATGAGGTTTTGAAAATTCTAATATTCTATACAACTTTAAACATTCCGAATGTGTGTTTTAATAGCTATAGAATCCCTTGTAAAAGATGAGTTCCTAATAAGAAAATCGGTCCAAAAATGGTTCATTTTCGTTCAGTATTTACAAAGATATGTGGAATTTAAATATGCTGCTCTTTATGTAATAAGCCCACCGTGATTTTGTTGATAGGCCTATTTCAAATCCAATTGAATCCTATCCCAGAGGTTATCTAGTGTTGATATTTTGATTTTTTTTAATTAAACATACATTATGTAAGAGCTAAATCTGCCTATTGTTTGTCTTTCTTTAGGCCTGAATTGTTATATAAACTATTAATTAGACATTTATTAACAAAACAAGACCATAATCGACTCTCAATGGCATCAGATACTCAAGATTTTAACTAGATTAAAACGGTTTGCCATTTAAAAATTTAATTTAAAAATGGGAAAGTGAGGCTTAGTCCCGATTATACCAGTGCCCTGGTTACCACTGTGCACACATCTTGTCAAAACTACAAACAATGATAACTTGGCTGAGAATGAAGTAATTTTAATGAAATTTTCAATATTTTCTTTTTTTATCAACTATTTTTCAATTATTATAGCAAGAATGACCAACTCTTTATTAAACTCTTAACTAATGTATCTTTAATTAAATGTTAAATAATCAGTACGTATAAAAAGCCGTGAGAAATTCAACATTTTAGCGAAAAATGCCAATAGTGAATCATGACTTTAAGAAATAATTTGAATGTTATCTCTGCAATACATAGGAATAAGGTGTTATATTTAATGTATCTCTACGTAATGTCTGTTTAAGTTGCATGTTATATTGTAAACAATAGGGTGTTGGTTGTATATCTGAGTAATGTAATATTTTATATTGTCATGGTGACACACTATTAAAACAACTTACATTACTTACATTACTCTCTCTCTCTCTTAATACATGTACATGTGATGAATCTAATATGTGTCCTTCGATTGAATCGGATTTAAAAAAAAATGGCCTGTTTAAGGATCTTACCCACTTAATTATCAACAAATTATCATCGGCGCTGAATTGTTTATATCATATAGGAAACTAAATATATGAGGCAATTACACCCATAGTTAACTTTTATCATAATATAACACTTATCATGACAGTCTTTATCAGTAGCATGTCATTATATCATCCAGTTTGTTTCAAATATAAGTAATAAAATACCTATATAGCAGGTATATACTGACACTATATAAACATACAGGTAAAATATGATATCCTGTATAATTAACACCTGTCAATCACCTGTAGATCCCACCCATATACTAACAGGTTACATTTCACTATGTCAATTACCTCATCTTTTTAGGACACATCAAAAAAAAATTAAGTTGATTTTCTGTTCTTCCGAAACACCTGTAAAAATTTTCCTTCTTATTTCTTCAGGAAAAAGACTTATGTAAAAACCAGGAGTGCTTGGTTGTGCTGTTAAAAATATTTTAATTCCAATTTTTAAGTTTTGAAAGTTTAAAGTAGCTAAGTCTCTAACTCAATATCATCCAAAATCTTCAACTTTGAAAAAACACGATTTATTTGTCAAATTAAATCAACATTCATGTTGTGATCTTACCGGAAAAAGATGGCCTTTTGATATCCATTATTTAAGACAAAATAAACATTTTACCATTGGTACACGAATCGTGTACCATAATGCGCTTCAGCCCCAGTTGTATCAAGAGACTCGAGGGACGAGGCTAGACACATTGCGCCAAATAAAACGGCGTATGTAGACTGGAATAACCAGACGCTAGAAATTTGCACTCGCTTGAGACTGCTGGCTTGTTTCGCCGAACATAACTGATTTGAAATTGGAGTAAAAATGGAAAACATTGAATGTAAATCAGTTTATATACATTCATATTACAGTATTATATGCGTTGCGACCCACTTTTGTCAATTTCTCGGTCTCAAATGTTAGCGATTTAGCTCCTTTAAATATGACATCTTTCATGCAATTCTAGTGGCTATTTATTAAAACCCTGAAGATCAAATAATCAAATGGGTGTGGCCTAACCTGCTCTTATTGAAGATTTTTCTTGTAATTATATTTCAAACTTGAACATGTGCGCGCTGTATCATAAGGTCTGTCATTGAGTCAACTGGCGTGGTTTCAATTCCCCGGTTGTATGTTACAAGGAGTAGGGTCACCTGTCCAACCACGTGGGTTTTCTCCGGGTCCTCCGGTTTCCTTCCTTTGCTGAAGACCCCTACATGCAAGCAAATTATTGAACCATATGTTAGTCCTAAAATGACCTAGTTTGTGAGAGTGGACATTAAACCCCATCTCTCAAACTGTGTGTATTAATAGACTATAATCTGATAATACATCTCACCTTTGGTTTATCTACTCTAGCTGGAATCTACTGTGGGCCCTATCATTTTCCTACTAAAGATACCTTTAGGTTCAGTTTAATAAATTCTGGGAAATATATACATACATGCATCATCAAAATGATTTTGTAATAAAGCAAAGGACATTCCAGCAAATTGTACCGCTTTCAGTAGTGAACAAAAAAAACCTCAAAGGTTCCACAATAAAAATCCTGAGTAGATTAGAAGAAATAAAATGAGGTTTAAAGTCTTTCTTTTCTGCACCAACCTGACTAATGAAGAAAAACAAGCATATGTCATGCAGTGTGCTATATTAGGGAAATTTTGCCCGGACAGTGGTGCTTATGGTCTACTCTTGTTGCTATTCCCAATTATCAGGGAATCAGCTGCCAATGGTAAATGCAGAAGCTTGGATTTTCATCCCATTCGAAGGACTTGTTGCTTTTCTTAATCAGGCCCTTTATCCTTAACCGCTGTCAAAAGAAAACTGGGCTGGAAAATCCTGAGGAACTTTCTCAGTCAACTCTGGGATCGAACCTGGGACCACCTTGTTAGTGAGCCAGCACACCACTCGCCAGCCACTGTTGCCCCCCCCCCCCAACCGCCCCCATATATCAGAAGAACCTGTTTTTGATTTATTTTGATTTACCCTTGGTTTTAATACACAATCACATTAAAATGGTGTGATCATAATCAGTCAACTCATCGATTGATTGAGCCTGGGACCACCTTGTTAATGAGTCAGTGCACCACTCACCAACCAATGTGGCCCCCATAGATCAGAAGACATTGAGAATATTAATGAACCTAGTTTTGATTTACCTTTGAATTAAAATGGTGAGATCATAATCATTAACCATGACAATTTACCATAAATAAACGAACGAAGTGTGTATACCAAAAAAAAAAAACAAAGTGTGTATGCCATGATGATGATGAGAGGATGTGTTGAATGACAGCTTGTCAACTGATGTTATGATAAATATTATTATATATACAGATAGGTAATCAGCTATTCTAATAACCTATCATGTAATACAATTAATATAGCCTGCAGTAACAAGTGTCACAGTTGCTATACAAAAATCTATTCACCACCATTTTATTACTTTTAAAGTGTCACAGCCATAATCAAAACAATCGTTTTATTTATGGATAATGCATCGCTTGTTGCTAACAATGACATGATGTTTTGATGAAATGGACACCATGTTGATCGAAAATTGATTGTTATGTTTGATTATTCTTCAAAACAGCAGGAATTTTTTTTTTCTCAATTCATTCAGGTTATTCAGGACCTGGGAGTAATGGATTCCTTTTGAAACAAAAATAGCGAGACATTTTTTCTGTGTCTGCTGGTGTTTTATTTGTTTTTTGTGGTGCAACCTTTCCAAATTTATTTTTGGTACCCCCTAGTTGGTCACCATTACAATAAAGTCAAAAGAACACACCAAAAGAGAGGTTATTTGAGCGGAGGATAATGAAATTCCACTCGGTTAGATCTTGCTCCTCCCAGTTCCTTACAACATTTTCATGGCCTGCAGCACGTCTCTACGGAACAATACGTTTATAAACAAGTGAGTGACCAGAACTTACTTCTGCTCTCTTGCCGTTTCCGATACTAACATATGTCAAATTAACTAACCAATAGGAAGAAAGATAATTAAAGAATTGAGGATAGGTTTACGTTGTTGTACCATTGGTAAATTTGGCGATATTGCAGGCTTCGTATCTAAACCAATAAATGAGTGACACTAATTCACATATTGTAGTTACAATAAAAGATAAATTAACCATTAACCAAAAATCACATATCGAATTACTGACTGAGACAATGTGAGTTATTGCAGTAAGGATTCGGTTTCATTTTTGACAAATTTGAAGATACATTTTGATACTTAAGAAATTACTAAGGAGAAAATTGTTATTTGAAGTAGTAAGTCGAAGCTTGTTTTCTTTAGGTTAAGGTAGGTAGGTTTGTGAAAAGAAATATAAGGAATTGAAAGGAAATCTTGATGAATCATTTTAGGACATTTGGAATCACTAGTAAACTGCAATTTTTTGAAAGGTGAATCTGTAATAGGAAAATCAGTCCAAAAATGGTTCAATTCCGTTCAGTATTTGACAAGGAACACTGTCTAGTCATTTGGATGAGAGGGAAAACTCTCGAAATTGGAATTCGAAATCATAGTAGGGCGAGGTGCTGCTGTCCAGGTAAAATTTCCGTCAGAGCACACTGTATGGCGTATGCCCGTCTTCGTTAGTCCAGTCGGAGCAGAACAGTAAGACATTAAACCCCATTTAATTTCATTTAACTTCAAAATGACCGTGTTTTGTTATTGTAACATAAAGTTTATTAGGTGCAAAATAAATGTAAATTTGATTTATATGTTTTAATATAACAATGACAGATGATTATGTTACCAACACCTTTCCTTAAACTGTCCTCATTAGCCCAGTTCGGAGCAGAACAGTAGGACGTTAAACCCCATTTCATTTCATTTCCTTAAATAATGACTCATTTATTGTTACAGTAGAAAGCTGAGATAAAACTTAGAGGTATTAAAATATTTAATATTCCAAATATCAATAATTTACTTTTCATTAGCCATAATTCCTGCCTGGTCGACTTAGCTGCTGTGGGTGTATTCTTCATTGCCCGGCAACCTGTCTTTGAAGTGGTAGGAGGGATTTTATAAAACATAATATTTCTTTGATTAGGGCCTACAGGAGCATGATAAACATATTTGATTTTTACAATAACTCGGCCTGACTTTCATAATAAAAATTGGATCATGTGTTCATGATCATAGTTTTTTTGTGGGTAGAAGTAGAAAATATATATCTTTTTAGCTATATCTTCATTATTTGAACATTTTTCATTCTGTTTTGTGCTTCAATAATTTATTTTTCAAAAGCCAAGAAAGTAAATTTTTATATGCCCACATTGAAATGTTGGCTGGCCATTGACGATTCCTTGTGGCCTTTCTAAAGGCTAAAGTTTTCATTAAGTTTGTGTTTGACCATTTTTCATTGGTCATCCCTATGGTGTCAACAGGTCCGAATAATATCACCTGTTCCAGATGGCTGGAATGATAAATAGATGAGTGACCACTGTCCACTACTTGCTTCCACCTCACCGGTCACAACAAGACATCATTATAGTGGACATCACAACCAAAACACCTCTAGGCCAGCTTTAATTAATTCCCCTACACCAATAAAACCCAATGGCCAGTGGCTGGTCAGATCTCAATGACCAGGGTTGTGTCCATTCTCTTCTGGAACAAAAGTGGACGGGCAACACAGCAGATGCTGCAACAAGACAACTGACAAAAACCTCATTATAACCCATCACATCATCGTCATCGTAATCGGCTGCTCGGGACGTCTATTACCTCATTCGGAGATTCATCTCATTGACAAAATAGATTGGGTCAGAGGTCAAAGTTGATGACTAAATTAAGGGTGAAGTTGTTTAGGGTTATTGTCCCCGGTTGAATTAAAGAATGGTGAAGGACTGTCAGTGTCTGGTAATAATATGAATAGATTTCAAGTGACTGGTTGTTAGTAAACAAGTTTAAGTTTAAGAGATGAGACACTTGATGACAAGAGTCAACTGTCAATTAAAAGAATACAGAAGTTGTTAGAAAATCAAGTAGTATTACATGTAGAGATTGTTACATTCCAACTTTTACAATAAATAGTTTAAACTGAACAAAATGGTAGAGATTACTCAAATAACAAATTAACAATTCTTAGCAACACTTATGTGTTACAATAAATAGTCTGAACTGAACAAAGTAGTAGAAATTACTCAAATAATGAGTTAGAAATTCTTTGCATCACTTATATGTTAAAATACATAAAAAAAATAAGCAATTCTTAGCAATACAACACCTTTATGTTACAATAAATAGTCAGCAATTCTTAGCAATACAACACTTATATGTTACAATACATAAATAATCAGCAATACAACACTTATATGTTACAATAAATATTTTAAACGGAACAAAATGATAGAGATTATTCAAAAAACTAATTAGCAATTCTTAGCGACACTTATATGTTACAATACATAAATAATGAGCACCCCCACCCCCTCATTGCTAGTGCAATAGGAATCTCGATCTCTGTCCAAAAATGGTTAAATTCCGTTCAGTATATTTACAAAGATATGTTGATTAGAAATTTCGTCGATTGGTGCTGCCTGCTATGTTATAAGCCTGCTGCCACCATTTTGTTATGGGCGAACAGAAATGATAATGATAGGTCTATTTTAAATCTGGTTGCGTCCTAGCTGTGACGTTATTTAGCGTTGGTATTTTGTTTTCTTAAATAATCAATCTGAGTATATATTAGCGTGGATTAAAGATATATTATGGGAGATTCGATAACGAGTTGGCAGTTCTCACTATAATAATCAAAAACTAGATAACGTAAAGGCAATTTGCTGAAAATTATCATTCAAATTGATCCACTATGAACCGAGAACTAAACGAATGGAATTTCTGCCTAGCCTCGGTCATCATTACTATAGTCCGTACGATAAACAGCATAGTCTCGATTATCCATTTAATCGTTTAATCCACTTAAGATCGCAGGCTAGCGATGCCATCTAGAGTTGATTATGGTCTGGATAAGTTAATTAATGTCTAATTAATAATTTAGATAACATTTCAGGCCCAAAGAAAGACCTGCAATAGACAGATTTAGCTCTTGCATAATGTATGTTTAAGCCATGAGAAATTTGATATTTTAGCTAAAAATGCATATCACTCATCGTTACTTTAATTCTGTTGATGCTCGGGAGAACAAAAAATAAAGATTACCTAGATGAAGTCATGGCTGATCATGGTTAATCATTTAAAATTAAATCTGTTTTATTTTTTCAGGAATTGGCCGGGGAAATTATACTGACTTTAGGAGAAGCGTTTGAAATTGCCTATCAAATGGCGCTGAAAGAAAAAGCTGAAGAAGATGCATTTGAATTTGAACTAAAATTAAGCCAAAGTGACCTAGATGATTCAACGAGTATATCTTCTAAAGCCTCAATAAGCACCGTCTGATTTACAGGTAATTATTATCCATCGCCCAATGAAGGAATGTTGAAATAGGCTCCGTCTGTCTGGACGTTTTTTTGTTATTTGAGCATGTCTTTTAAACCGTTCAAATATCTTTTGAAACTTTGTTCACATATTTACTAATTAGAAATATCTCACGTTTAATAATTTATTAAATTTAACTTAGTTTTTGGTATACAAGTGCATTAATGTTGATGACCGATGACCTAGTCCGCAACTCTTAAGTAATAGTACACAACAAACAGAATTTCTCTTGAGGATTTTTCAAGCAATTTTCCAGACACAAGTACTAGGGAAGGACCTGGAAAATATGTCTAGACTTTCTTGTATCTGACAAAATAAGGAAATATTGAAAACAAATTGGTAGTTATTGTTAAAATCCCGGACCAGTTATATTTCAATGAAGAGTTATTGAAAATACCGCTTTCTTGGCTAAATTACCCCATGCATTACAAACTTCACAACATGGAGCCACGGTGGCTAAGTGAGTAAGACCGTGGCTCACTAGCCTGGAGGTTGCGGTTCCCTCCCAGTTTTGGCCAAGAAAGTTCATTGGGATTTTTAGACGTGGTTTCCCCTTGTCAGTGGTGCATGACGGAGGGCCTGACAAGGATAGCTGTCTAGTCATTCAGATGGTATGAAAAACCGAGGTCCCATCCACACATTGGCGTATATGTAAAAAATCCCTTGGCAGTTGGAGTTCGATATAAGAGTAGGCCATAGCGCCGCCTTCTGGGCAAAATTGCTCATCTTCATTATCCAAGTCGGAGCAGAACAGTTGGACATTAAACCCCATTTCATTTCATTTCACAAACTTGACAATAAAAATAATTTTAATCAGGTAAAATCGAAGTTGGGAGATTATCTATTTTGATTTTGTTTTCTTAATTAAATGGTAAATGATAAATTTGAGTGTATTTTACTCTTTAGCATGGATAAAGCCATGGAATTACACAATTGGGATCAGAGACATTAATTCATTTAAGGCATTATATTAACAAATCTATTCGACAGGGAGGGGGGTTGGATGGCCGAATGGTTCTCCGGTTTCCTTCCACTGCTAAAAAACCCTACGCGCATGACAATTATTGAAATAAAATTGAACCATATGTTAGTCCCGAAATGACCTAGTTTGTGTTGAGTTGATGTTAAACCCTCTCTCTCTCTCTCTCTCTCTCTCTCTCTCTCTCTCTCTCTCTCTATTCGACAGGGAAATAAAAAAGGAATTTAGAAAGATTAGTTGGATCAAACAAATGAAATAAAAGTTCATTCGAAAATTAAACAGATTGAGTCTGAATTTTAAAAAAAGAAATATGATATGCTGGTAATCAAAAAACTGCTAGTACATAGCGGCAACGCTAGTTGATCACTTTAGTCGTTTAATAAACATCTCAAGACAACAAACCCATGTGAGAGCCCCAACAGCTTCATTCAATTAACATATTATATTTTATAGCAATAGTCAAGTGTCAAATTAACTTGAATCAAATAAAAACAATAAGACTTGAGCCTGATCTCTCTGTGTCTACAATAGTAATTTAGTGGAAATCATAGGGGTTATAGGGGCTGGTTGTGCATCTTCTGCCTCATTATTAAAATACCATCATACCAAGCTTAAGACATCTTTTGTATTTGCTATAGGTCTCCAGATGGCAGCATGCAACTGCAGAAGGTTGCCAAAGGTCTTAAGAGTAGTGCCAAATGCAGAATTAAAATCAGAGATGAATTAATCACAAATTGAGTATCACTAACGTGCATGTCATTGTAGGCAAACAGTGAAACAGCAAGAAATATAAATGAGTTTTGTTCATGATATGTTTTAAAGCTGCTGATCGTTGTCATTCTGCACACACAGAGATTAATCTACTTCATTCCTCGAGAATAGATCTCTACCCTAAATGGCTGCCATATCTAAAAATTAGTATACTGTTTTGTAATGCATTTCTACTCTGTTTCACATCTGTCGTACACACAAAGACTAAATAAAAAAAATTTAATTTTATTAAATGGAAGCAGAATAAATACTCAACAAAATTCTCGAAGTATACTTAGGACCTAAAATGTTGGTTAAATAGATTAGTCTCTGTTCTCAAGCAGAGCTAAATGTAGACAGACAGCCTAAGTTTAGTATGGATGGTTGTGTGTGTTTTTCGAACAATATCTCATTTTCCTAGACTTAATTCTCAGATTGATCATTTCACATAAGAAAACAAAATAAGAATATTGATGGTAGATAATCTCCCAACATAGATTCAGTCGAATTAAAAACATACCCTTCAGAAAAAATTTGTTCGTCTTTAGTTTCCCGTTAATAATGTCTGCAGAGAATGCAGAATGTTGCGAAATTTTCCATTCATATCTTTGTAACTACTAAATGGCAGAGGTGGGAACTCAAGTCCTGCTGCATAAGTTGCATTAATGATTCGACTTGCCGACTCATTTGATGAACTGGCGACTTTAACGCGACTCGACTCGGTACTAAAGTCACCGACTTGGAACTCGACTCCGACTTAAGGTGCAATGACTTGGGCCTATTCTCTGCTTAATGAAATTGAATCCTTTTACGTTGATATTAATTTTAGAGATTCAACTTTCACAATATTGTAGTTATCAAGGGATTCAGAATCTCTTAAATGCCCAATTTGCGATATATTCACCAAATTAATTCCACCAAGCAATAAAAGAAAAATGTATGATTTACAAAATATTAGCATCTTATAAATAAGACAAAGAGTAATGAACAGCAAATCAACATTTTTCATTGACTCTTAAATAATATGTGACCAGTGACAACAAAATGACTTTGAAGTCACAAATAATTGTTTACGATGTATGATCAAAAATGATGAAATAGATTCTCTATTGGTTGAATCTAAACTTGATCTTTTCGTGGTATATCATTAAAAAGATATTTTTAGCCTGTTTTTGTTCATATTGTAAAAGACTTGAGACTTATTTTTCTATCAGGTGTCATTTTGGGACTAACATATGGTTCTATTTTATTTCGATAAATGGCTTGCAGGTAGGGGTCTTTAGCAGTGGGATGGGGTCCACATATAAATGATATCTTAACATGTAACATAACAATTATATTGTAACTTTATTATCATTAAGTAACATACACTTTGTTTATAAATGAGTGTCTCATGCTGGTTTCTATAAGTCAAGCATCATTAATCTGATGGCAAATCATTAATAATTAGACAAACAAATGATGATCATCATTTACAAAATTAGATATTTGACTTTAAAACATAGAAGCAGACATAACGACTCATTAAAAATTCAGTCATTTTATTCATGCATGTAGTAATTTAGAATTTTAACAATAACAGTTTTTTATAGCATTGACTGTTTTAATTCTAAATTTCTATCCATTTTTGGGTCCTGTTAGCTATAATAGTGAGATGCTAGAGGGAATGCTTTCTCTTTCTAGAGGTTGTACATGGCAAGGAGTAGGGTCGCCTGTCCAACCTCGTGGGTTTTCTCCGGGTTCTCCGGTTTCCTCCCACTGCTAAAGACCCCTACGCGCAAGCGAATTATTGAAATAAAATTAAAACCATATCTAGAGAGAGAGGGAGAAATGGGGTTTAACGTCCACTCGACACAAACTAGGTCATTTCGGGGCTAACATATGATTTAATTTTATTTACACAATTCGCTTGCGCGTAGGGGTCTTTAGCAGTGGGAGGAAACCGGAGGACCCGGAGAAAACCCACGAGGTTGGACAGGCGACCCTACTCCTTGCCACGTACAACCAGGGATTCGAAACCACTCTCTCTTTCTAGAACACCTGATACCATTTTTTATTTGTTTGAAAAATTCACATAGCTAACATTTGTTAAACATGAAGTATGCAAGAGCGAAATCTGCCTATTGCAAGTCTTTCTTTAGGCCTGAAATGTTATCTAAATCATTAATTAGAGATTAATTAACTTTTCATGGCCATAATCCACTCTTGATGCCATCGCTAGCCTGTGATATTTACTGGATTTGAATACAATTTGGGATGGATGACTTAACGCCAAAATGGATAATCGAGACTTTGGTTTTTATCATACCGACTTTAGTAATGATGATCAAGAATAGGCATTAAATTCAATAGGTTGGAGCAATTTCACTGAAATTTTCAACATATTCCCTTTACGTTATCTATTTTTTAACAATTATAGCAAGAACTGTCAGCTCTTTATCTAATCTCTCATAATGCCCCTTTAAATTTTGAATTATTTTTCCACTTAGGACAAAGTTCTTTGAATGAAAGTGTCCATCATCAAGATGTTTATTTAATAATGGGAAGATCTAACTACCGTATTATCTGTCCTTTGTTCCATTAAAAGCTTTAAATGCCAGGTTATGCTTACTCTTTTGATACCACTTTGTTTTAAAAATTCACATATAGCTAACATTTTGTTAACTGTTTGCATTATTTTTTCACTTAAAACCATGTTTTTTGTATGCAAGTGGCGCATCATTTCATCTCTAGTATTATTTATTCATAGGCAACCTCGTGGGTCTTCCGGTTTCCTCCCACTGCTAAAGTAAAAGACCCCTACATGCAAGTGAATTATTGAAATAAAATTGAACCATATGTAGTCGCGAAATGACCTAATATGTGTTAAGTGGACTTTAATCCTCTCTCTCTCTCTCTTTCTCTCTCTCTCTCTCTCTCTCTCCCTTCCTTCCACCTCTCTCCTCCCCCCCTCTCTTTCTCTCACTCTTAAAAAGTTTATTATCTCTCTTTTGTTGAAACTGAATGGAGGGAAGTAAAAGCCATAAATCTTGTGGATGATCTCCAATAACAATATGTTGTTGATTGTTCAAACATAATAACAATGTTAATTAGCACCAGTAATTGATAATTACAGACAATAATCCCAACAGTTACAGAAAGTACTTAATCATAGTCAACAACATTGGGAATTAAAACACATTATCTCTGTTTAAAGAACGATGATCATGTTGACTAACAATTTTCTCGATGAACTACGTCTCCTTGACCATGTGGTTTATTTCAATAGGATATTGTTTCCCCGTTCCCCATTAACGCCTCTTAAGTGCTCCCCATTTGTTTCTGGGTATTCACCCGGGGAGCAGTCAGTGTGCTTTTGTTGTGCTTTAATGAAGGTGATCAGTACACAGTTTTCGTGGAGAGAAAAGAAATACAGTCGCTCGTACATCTTAACGACCTGTCTGTAGAATAATTGAAGTATGCGGGTTGGGTTGTGTTTGAAACGGCCAACAGTTCTCATAAAATCTGACAAATTACACCTTAAATTACCACCCAAATAAAGAACTACTCGTTTAACCTCATCTGGGGCAAAGAATAGAATGAAACAAGATACAGAAAACAATTGTTTGATGTTAGGGACTACACAAGGTCCCTGGACAATCAAAGGTTAAAGCAAGTCAATCTCATTTAGATGATCCGTAAACATTGTTTCAGGATTTATTCATAGTTTTTTTTAGGCACCATAAGATTGTGACTATCTCTGACTAAAAATTGTAAGACCATTGTCATAATGTCACTGTTTATACATATAAAATGGAAAAAGCAAGAATAACTGAGCAAAATGTCAACTGGACCCACGTGGCAGCCGTTATAAAGGCTCACACGACTTAGCTGTTGGCATATATTTTGTTGCCTGGCAAATTATTTCATTTAATGCTCAAAATGAAAGATACATTATGTAAGATTTGGATAAAGAGCTAGCCATCCTTGCTATATATTTCGTTGACTGATAAATTATTTCATTTTATGCTCAAAATTAAAGATACATTATGTAAGATTTAGATATTAGCCTTTGAAGGTTTGACAAGATGTGTGGATTAATTGCAGCCACCGTACTGGTTGTTCGAAGCTAAACCTTGCTTCACCATTTTTGAATTGAATCAAAATATGGCGGAACTGTCCTAATGCACTTAATACCGGAGATATCCGATGGCTTCGAGAGTTGATTATGATCTTGTTTTGTTAGTAAATGTTTATTTAATAGTTTATATAACATTTCAGGCTTAACGAAAGACCTACAATAGGCAGATTTAGCTCTTGCATAATGTGTGTTTAATTTTCTCATTACAAAATATTAGACTAAATTTGTTTATATTTCAGATCGAGATACTGGTTTCTTCACCAAATGTAATTTGAACAAAATGCAAAATGGCTGACTACATGTTCTTCACTGCTGAGTATAACTGTAATGGAGTGTGAAGTATTGTGGTTGCTATTATTATGTTGAGTTCATTAATAATTGAAAATTTTAATGGTTTATTAATTCAACCGCTCAAAACAATCGTTGTTTTATTATATATTTAGTTATTATTTTCAATTTGTTAAAACCTCATGACTTACTTGAACTTTTTATTGAGAAATTTTAATCAAATTTCATAGACAATGATAATGTGTGCGTATTTGGCACTTTTAATCAAAATGAAATTTAGATAACATTTCAGAAAATATATTTTTATAGCTTAGAATTTTATTTATTCAATTAATACAGATTTCAGTCTGTTTTATTCTCTTGTGTCATGAATTATAGAATGTCGTGATTGATCCATTTTAGACTTCTTATCCATTTCAAAACCTTAAATAGAATCAGTGTCAGATTTAGATGAAGAGAGATCCTAGGTTATTGCACTTATGAGGCCCCTCCCTATCCCCCATCCGAACGACTAGAGGAAGATGACAATTTGATTAAAACACAGATCCTATTTCGTTTCGTTTTTATAGTTCAAAATTTCGTTTTGATTGACGTGTTCTGAATGATGTGAGCTATTGGCCAATGAAAAGGTCCAGTACAGCGAGCTTTAGGCGTGTTTTTCACGGAACTGTGGGTAATCCACTAGCAACATCAATGCTGATTGTTTAATCAAATGTCTGACGTCATAGGGTCAAAAGCCGCTCGTATGACCTCTGACACGACCTATTGCTACAATCGGTCAGATCTTCATGTAGTGAAGGCCATCGAAAGTGGAAAAAAAAAGAAACGAAATATACATCTGTATTTTAATCAGATTGGGAAGATAACGGATGTTAAAACTACAGGCTTATGACAGTGTCAAAAATAGTATACACCTTGGCCGAAAGCCCCCCTTGATCTTGATGCCCTAGGCTTCAGCCGGCAATGCCTAAAGGTAAATCCTGCATTGAATAAATTCTTTCTTGTGTGTTTTGTTGAGGACAATATGGTCTCTCCATTGGGTTGATGTTGCTAATGTCATTTGTTTTTGTTTTTATGAATAATAAATAAATTGGGGTGTAATTGATTGGTTTGGTATTTAGAAAAAAACATCCCAATGGAGATTATAGACTTATATAATGTTGTTGGTGGGCAGAGGTCAAATAGACCTGCAGTCCTCATTTTAATTATTCATCTAATCAAAAATAAGTGAAAATTACCACGAATCTGTGAATCATGGAAAGAGTATAGCCCTGCTTAACAGTAAACTCGAAAAGTTGTGTTTTAATAGACTTCTGTTTTCACTCCAGTCTAGTGTACTTTTGTTAAGTGGGGACTATATATACACTGTTTACGTATTTTTATGTTCCAGTAGTAACTCGGATTGAATCGGTTTGTCCAACCATTTTATACCCTATCAGCAGACTGTTTCTGTTCCTTACTTTAAGGAGCCACAGTGACTCAGTGAGTAAGATGCTGTTTCACTAACCAGGAGATCTACTCTCAGGATCGATCCTGGGGTTGGCAGAGAAATTATCCCAGGATTTTCAAGTGTTGTTTGCCCTTGTCAGTGGTGCCAGATGGAGGACCTGTCTAGTTGTATGGATGGGGCTAAAACAAGGTCCCATGTGCAAGTTGGCATGAATGTTAAAGAACCCTTGACAATTGGAAATCGAAATAAGAGTAATGCCGCTGCCTGGGCAAAATTTCCCTCATAGCACACTACATGGTGTATGCTGTTTCATTAGCCTGGATGGTGCAAAAAAGTTTCCCTCATAGCACACTGCATGGTGTATGCTGTCCCATTATCCTGGGTGGTGCAAAAAAGTTTCCCTCATTGCATACTGCATGGTGTATGCTGTCCCATTAGCCTGCATGGTGTATGCTGTCCCATTAGCCTGGATGGTGCAAAAAACTGAGGATGTTAAACCCCATTTCCTTTCCTTTATATCAATCAATTAGCTTGGTAAACAATGGTATGTAAGTTCTACGTTTTAGATGATTTTTTTTCTCGTTTCCAGCGTTAAAAGAAATGTTTGAGAATAGTATGGTTGATCATGTTCTTAATATAATCATGTTAAAATGAATTTGTGTAAAAGACAATGCGTGCAATATGTTATAACAATTCCCTTTTTTATATCAAATTTTCAATTACCTTTTAGTAATCTGAGTAATTTGTACAAAAATAAAGCAAATATTTGTTTTTTTTGTTTAGCTTTGCTTTGCCTATTTAATTTATTAAGAGTTATGTATATATAATTTGTAAGATAAGTAATATGTATATTTTTTGTATTATGTAGAGAAATGTAAATAATACAGGTTCTTCTCAATACTGATCAATCACCGTTCTTTTCATCATTGGATTTTGTCAAGTAGTCAGAGAGAGAGAGAGAGAGAGAGAGAGAGAGAGAGAAATGGGGTTTAACGTCCACTCGACACAAACTAGGTCATTTTGGGACTAACATATGGTTTAATTTTTTTTTCAATAATTTGCTTGCACGTACGGGTTTTTAGCAGTGGGATTAAACCGGAGTACCCGGCTATCCAACCCCCCTGTCAAGTAGGCAGGCCTGGAAATAGTTGTACCTAACAAAATTTCAGACACTTATAAACTAGTACCTGATAATATTAAAAAAGAAAAAAAAATTGGGGAGGGGGAGTCATTTGACATGGTTTCAAATGCCCACATGTATGTGACAAGGAGTAGGGTCACCTGTCCAACCTTGTGGGTTTTCTCTGGGTCCTCCCACTGCTAAAGACCCCTACGTGCAAGCGAATTATTGAATTAAACCATGTGTTAGTCCCAAAATGACCTAGCTTGTGTCAAGTGGTGGTTAAGCCCCATTTCTCTCTCTGTATAAATAAGACAAAGGGCGAGCTTAATATTGAAATAAAATTGAACTATGTGTTAGTCCCAACATGACCTAGTTTGTGTGGAGTGGACATTAAACCCCAATTCTCTCTCTCTCTCGCTTTAAATTTATGCTGGACATGTGTTAAAAATGTCAACAAAAACACTGCTCCATGACAAATCTGTATCATACAAAATGACATCCACAAGAGAGATTGTTTCAATTTCAAGATTTGTTTCAATTTAACTCTACTGTAGTTCCTTAATCACTATTATGAAACCAACTTATATCACATACAAACAGTAAAGAGTTAAGTAAACAATCTCTCTTATGTCAATTGAACACCTGATACGACTACTATGTTGGGGCCGATTCCTGCTAACATATGCTGCTATTTTACTGTTAATTGTAGATATTATAAGGGATTATCAGTACTGAGAAATTCCTGGAAACAAGAGTCACACAAGTGGACAAATCCTGCCAAACATCTTAAAGGAGAAATCCTGTGGGTTAATAGGAGGTTGGATGGCCGAATGGTTAGCATGTGCGCGTTGTATCATGAGGTCTGTTATTGAGTCAACTAGCATGGTTTTGATTCCTCGGTTGTACGTGACAAGGAGTAGCGTTGCCTGTCCAACCTCATAGTTTTTCTCTGGGTTCCTCCCACTGCTAAAGACCGCTACACGCAAGCGAATTATTGAAATAAAACCGAACCATGTGTTGCTTCCGAAATGACGATTGGATTTAGTCCACTATGGTGACTCAACCCAAACCAAGAACAAATATATAGAAACATGTATATGCAATCAAACATTGCTACGCTTAATGGCAATATTAATGTTATAATATTTTATCATTTCTTTAATAAGGGCATGTACTTACTTACAATTATTTTAACTGGTTTTATAAGATTTTAATTGTTTTCATAATCATTTTATTGTTCATTGTTAAGACTTAGTTCAGAGTTCCTTAACTAGTTGGATTAATCAATTCCTATTTGTTTATAAAGTGTTCTGTAGGATTAACATTGATTAACCATTTTGACTCCCTAAAAAGATTAGAGAAAAGTTATGTAGCTCATATTGAAACCCGTTTGTAACTACTGCTCACCTAGACCGCCTCCTACTACCCAAGTCACAGAAATATTAGCTGGTAGTTTAACGTTTGCTTCCACACTAGTGATGTCACAGACAAGAGTCACGAAGCTAGTATACTGCCGTTATAACTTGTTCATAGGTATTCACATGACTTGGGTAGTTTAGGGTAGTCCAAGTGGCGAAGGGTTCAATTTAAATAGCACCTCATATAACTGACTGAAAAGATTTCATCAATGTTGATGCCCTTGTACAAGATACTATCATTCCATAATATCAGAAAGGTTAAAGTTCTCTGTATGTTTCATCTCCATCGGGAAATTTCTCTGTATGGTTCTAAGTCATCCAGTTAGTTCTGGGGGTATGTGTCACATTCATCCAGCTAGTTCTGGGGGTATGTGTCACATTCATCCAGCTACTTCTGGGAGTATGTCACACGTTCATCCAGCTAGTTCTGGGGGTATGTCACACGTTCATCCAGCTAGTTCTGGGGGTATGTGTCACATTCATCCAGCTACTTCTGGGAGTATGTCACATGTTCATCCAGCTAGTTCTAGGAGTATGTCACACGTTCATCCAGCTAGTTCTGGGGGTATTGTCATGTTCATCCAGCTAGTTCTGGCGGTATTTTTCATGTTCATCCAGCTAGTTCTGGGAGTATGTCACATGTTCATCCACGTGCTGGACATATATTATAAATATCAATAAAAACATTGATAAAAGACAAATCGGTGCCGGACAAGATGACAGGCGCCAGAGGAATTATGTCTGACAAATCCTGAATTTGACTCTTACATTGTCTGTGACAGGTGCCTTATTTCCAGGCTTGTGTAGTGGAGAAATCTGGAATGTTGAGCATACTAACTTTAAATGTACCAAATCATATTGTGACCATTATTCCATATATAAATACACAATCATGGCATCGCTAGTTATTCTTGATCTCATTTTCAAGTGTCTTCACGTGACAAGGAGTAGGGTCGCCTGTCCAACCTCGTGGGTTTTCTCCGGGTCCTCCGGTTTCCTCCCACAGCTAAAGACCCCTATGCGCAAGCGAATTATTGAAATAAAATTAAACCATATGTTAGTCCCGAAATGACCTAGTTTGAGTCGAGTGGATGTTAAACCCTATTTCTCTCTCTCTCTCACATAATAACAAAAAAAAAAATCAAATTTCTTAGTTGAGTTTCTCAAATCTTCTGGGAGCAAGAATTGTAGATAAATATTCATCAATTATATTATTAAAACTCTATAAATATCTGATTATCTCATAAATCTGCATTTGTAAAGTTTGTGTTATTTTTATCAGGTATGAATTTGTGATGGACGGACATTTCAGCTATGGATGCTAATGTTTCGGCCAACTTCAGCATCATTGTTTTACTTTGTTGACATTTGGCCGAAAATCCTAAATATCATTTTCTCATAATCAAAACTTCTGTGGCCATTTTGTTGACATTTGGTCGAAGAGTCCTAATGAGCATTTTCTCATCGAAACTTCTGTGGTCATTTTGTTGTGATTTGGGCAAAATGTCCTAATGAGCATTTTCAAAACTTGAAATGTCTATCGTCAAATTGTCCTTGCCGAAAATGTCCTAAATTGGTATTCCTAACAAGCACCTTGATCTACTTATTAGGAAGGCAAGAATTAAGATTGACTTTTCTTCTTTCTTTTTTTTATTGATTGTTTTATTCAACGTTTAGCATTTTAATTTCCTTTTATTTGTGTAAAGAATTTGTTTTATTTGAACAATAAATGTATGTCATGTTCTGGTAGGACTTTTCTATCACGCTGTATATAATTAGCTTTTATCAAAATGTTTGTCTGGGGTTTTTTTTTTTTTGTCATGAAATACGATTTGGAATCAAATATTTTTACAAGTTAAGAAAGAAAGTGCTCTTGTTTTTTTTTGTTATTAATTTTAGATGATAATATACTACGAATGAGATTGAGTACGGAGCTGTTATGCTAGAGTTTTATGTAGCTTACCGTGTATATACAATGACCTGTATCATCTAATTCAAATTTCTATATAGTATATAAATAAATTAATCACTTAGTTAATTTGTTCTTGAGACTTGTGTATTTTATTGTAAGGATTATGATAATTTCTATCAGAATCGTAAAGGAGTGGGGAGCTATGATTCCTCGTTGAGTATGGTTCTAGCTCAATAATAGGATCATCTTGTCCCGAGTTCACAAAAATTCTCAGACTTAAGTTAAGAATTTTCTCAACTTTACTCAAGCCTGGTTTTATCCCGATAGTGGTGCAGGAAGGAGGGCCTAGCGTTGGGATGGGACGACATGTGATGCAGGATGGAGGCCTAGCATTGGTATGAGATGTCATGTCAGTGGTGCAGGATGGAGGGCCAAGCATTGGGATGGGATGTCATGTCAGTGGTGCAGGATGGAGGGCCAAGCATTGGGATGGGATGGCATGACAGTGGTGCAGGATTGATGGCCAAGCATTGGGATGGGATGGGATGTCATGTCAGTGGTGCAGGATGGAGGGCCAAGCATTGGGATTGGACGGCATGATAGTTGTGTGGGATGAAGGGCCAAGCATTGGGATGGGACAGCATGAAAGTGGTGCGACATGGAGTGCCAAGCATTGGGATGGGACGGCATTACAGTGGTGCAGGAGGGAAGGGAGGGTCTAGCATTGGGATGGGACGTCACGTCAGTTGTGCAGGACGGAGGGCCTAGCATTGGGATGTGATGTCACATCAGTGGTGCAGGACGGGGGCGGGGGGGGGGGGGGGCCTAACATTGGCATGAGGGTAAGCTGTAGTGCTGCTGTCTGGGTAAAATTAGCTTCATAGCCTACTGCATGGTGTATGCCCCTCTTCACTAGTCTGTTTGGTGCAGAATGATAGGATGTTAAACATCATTTCACAATGGGTTGTTAAGGTTAGCGACATCCATTCTAAAATTGTACATAGCCAGTTTTGTGATGGCCAGACTGTTTACCCAATTGCACTATGTGTGTGTCCATAGGGATCCAAGATGCAGATGAAAATTGGTGTTCTGAAATGAAAAGTCAATTCAATCCATGAGATGAGAAATTAGTAATTAATATATCACAAATCCAATTACCTACCCATGAATCCAATCACACATTCCTGCCACGTTGCCATGTGATTTTCCATTCCCAGAACATGATCAGCTGAAGAGTCATCAGTCCTTCCTAATTTGTGATGAGCCATCCCTACAATGTCGTCAAACATCGTTAAAATGTTGGCGGTCTCTATAGTGTACCAGACATCTATATAATATCCATCATCCCTATAATGTCATCAAACACCCCTATAATGTCACCAAACATCCCTTCAAGGTCAGATGTCTATATAATATCGGTTATCGGTATTCTGGTCTAATTATTAGAACATATTAGAAATGAAGTGAACGTAGATTGTCTATATAATATCGGCCACTATGTCACCAAACATCTCTATAATGTCGATTATGTCTACAATGTCATCAAACATCACTATAATGTCGGTCATCCCCACATTCTCACAGGACATCCCTACAATGTCCGACATCTATATAATTAATTCGGTTATAACTACATTGTCCGACGCGTCCGACGGCTTATATATAATATCGGTCATCCCTACAATGTCACCAAACATGTTGGCCATCCTTATAACGTCATCAGCCATTTCCACAATGTCTTTAGACAACTGTATTATATTCTCTTGTCGCTGTTCTTACCATGCCTGCTACCCCATGTAAAACAGCCCGGGAACCGGCAATAATTTATAAAGTAACATTCCGTGTTAATAAGAATTAAATCATTTAATAACTGCGACAATATCGCGAGATCACGATATAATAAGCATCCGCCGAAAAGCGCGAAAGTCGAATAGTAAGATAAATACAACTCGATCATCGGGATTCCCACCAATTCTTTAATCATTCTGATTAAAATACAGATCTATATTTCGTTTCGTTTTTTTATACTTTCGATGGCCTACATTTACATGAAGATCTGACAAGGTCATGTCAGGGGTCAAAAGACCGACTAATGACCCTATGACGTCAGACATTTGATTAACCAATCAGCATTGATGTTACTGGTGGATTACCCACAGTTCCGTGCAAAACACGCCTAAAGCTCGCCGTAACAGACCGTTTCATTGGCCTATCCCTGACACCATTCAGAACACGAGTTAAATAACAACTCTTCCAGATCCAAGTGTAGTAAAGACAAGTAAAACGAAATTTTGAACTATAAAAACGAAACGAAATAGGATCTGTGTTTTAACCAGATTGATTCTTTAATTATTATTATTCTACTCTAATTATTAGGACATATAGAATGTACGTAAGTTTACAAAGATAGATAACTACCAATACACACTTATTTAATTATTTCATAAAATTTTCACCATTGCCCATGAATCTCGATCACTAAGTCGCAATTTCCCAACTTTTCGGCATAAGGCTTTTGCGCTTTTCGAAGGATCAAACTATCATCAAAGACATCGCACGATATGCCTATTAATTATAAACAATCGAATTTTGAGAATCGGTCAGCGAGTTGTAAATAATTTTAATTTGGCGTTTGACACGTGCAACATAGTCCCGTCCCGACATATCACGTTTGGTGGCATGCAACTACGTGATCTTCGTTTGAAAATGTCAATCATAACTTATATCATGTCATTTATGACAGGTCATACGTCAGTCATCGACGTCACGAGTGCTAATCACCATAGTAATAAACATTAATTAGACAAATTATTTAATAACAGACCAGCCAATATTTAATACCGCTGTTAATCTACCCATAATTCAATTGGTCATTGTCTGGGAGTTATCAATTATTTGATACAAATCAGAACATTCACTGATGAAAACCACTCCCTTTATCTTGATAATGAGGTTTGACTTTTCTACACCGACTTGGCTAATGAAGAGGGGCATATACGGTATACAGTGTGCTATGGGGGGATTTTTTCCCGGACAGCGGCACTACAGCCTACTCTTATTTCGAATTCCAACTGTCCTGTTAGATAGGTTACACGTCAATGTGCACACGGGCCCCCGATTTATCATCCCATCCGAACGACTAGACACTTTGCCCTCGCCAGGTCCAAGGGAAAACTTAGCCACATGAAGATTGAGTTCGCTGGTACGAATAAGATAGCAAACAATTATTACCTTTTTTTTTATCTAGGACATTATTATCAAGATGACGGCGTACTCATGTCAATAGAAACCAATGTAAACTTTAAATCGCCACTATCCGGGCACAATTTCCCCCATTGAACAATTACATTTTTTTTAAAATTAATGATATATATATTCATCAAAAGGAGATAATTTCAGAAGCATTACCAAAGCAATATAGACTACAAAATTCGAATAGGGGAGATGTGGCAGAAAAACCGTCATCAATACTAAAAATATTAAGATCAATTTTTGATGACCATTAATACAGAATACCATTAGTAGTTTATTATATTCAAGGAACCGCGGTAGCTGATGGCTGGGTGGGAGAAGTAGGACGTTAAACCTCATTCCATTTATTATATTGATCGACGTTTCGACAGGTTTAACGTCCACGCGATACAAACTAGGTCATTATAGGACTAACATATGGTTCAATTTTTTTTCAATAATTCGCTTGCGCGTAGGGGTCTTTAACAGTGGAAGGAAACCAGGGGACTCGGAGAAAACACACGAGGTTGGGTAGGCGGTCCTACTCCTTGTCCCGTACAAGCGCGGAATCGAAACCATACCACTTGGCTCAGTGACAGAACTTGTGATCCACCCCCGCCCCTGTTCTCAAACTAAAAGAGAGGGGGGGGGGGAAATGGGGTTTAACGTCCACTCGACACAAACTAGGTTTTTCGAGACTAACACATGGTTCAATTTTATTTCAATAATTCGCTTGCGCGTAGGGGTCTTTAGCAGTGGGAGGAAACCGGAGGACCCGGAGAAAACCCACGAGGTTGGACAGGCGACCCTACTCCTTGTCACGTACAACCGGGGAATCGAAACCCCGCCAGTTGACTCAATGGCAGACCGTATGATACAGCGCAGCGTGCACGTGCTAACCATTCGCCCCCGCCCCCGCCCCCCACGCTTTGTGCTTGAAAACGATAAGGGATCACTAGTCGAAGCGTCGCGCAATATATAATAAACAAATTGTGTTCCATAGAAATGCTACCCACGCATTCTATTTTAGCATAATAATATGTTAACCTGAAAAAAAAAATGAAAATATGATAAAATATCAAATAATCTATGAATTAGATTGTCGATTTTTTCAGGACAAAAAGGTGAAAAAAACTGCTCCATTATTGTTGATAATAATTGGAGCACGTAATATAAATCAAAAGAATAATAAGTACTTTTTTCACAGAAACAAAAGATAAATATGACTAATATGAATAACACAGATATGATACCGTGAACCATTTAATAGAATACAATTGTAGGGTCTATATAACTTTTGTAAAAGAAGATAGGTATCGGGAATACTATATCCGCGCGTGACAGAGCTATAAGGTATACTAAAGGTTTTACGGCTGGGTTATTGCCCGGTAACAGGTTGGCGGAAATTATAAACATGTGACATCAGTTTTATAGAACATTTTAATTGTTCTTAATGAATCGTTCGTTCATTGATAATTGATCTTTGATAAAAAATGTTTTTTGTTGTGTTAAACTGTGTTGCTTATCTCTTTATTACTATGATAAGAGACAAAACATAACTTTTATCGTGGTTCAATAAAATTAACTGAAATTCAAAGAAACGTTGCTGCCCTGGCAAAAACGAGGTCACGTCTTTGTAAATAAATCGTATAGAATTTTATCGTGCGTGGTATCGCAAGGTGGCAAGTAACAAATGAATGGTACATTATGTAAGCTACAGATATAGAGCTGCCATTCTTGCTATAATTGTTTTTTAAAAAAAAATAGATAATTAAAAATGAATATATTAATAATTTTATTCAAATTACTTTGTTAGAAGATTATCGCAGCAACGGTACAGGATAAATGGGACGAAGTCACGATTATCCGTTATATCGTTAAATTTTTTGAATCTC